CATTATCCCCACCACAGGGCTTTACCCACTTGGCCTGATTGATTGCAGTGAATATTTCACAGTTATACATAATCTGAGAGATTATGTGAGATACTGTCCATGTTTAAGTCCACCCCTCAGTAACGAGACCCATCTGAATGTTGTGTCTCTTCCCTAATGACCCAAGGTGTCATGGGCTCACCAAACCAGAAATATTCACCCTAGTGTTGTCAGTTCAGATCCACCTGAGACACTTTAATCTTGCCAGCCCAATCCACTTGTCCATTGTGGTGTTTTCAGTAGCCCAACTCCTGGGCACATGTGCATCTTTTGATGTACTTTTACACCCAACTTCTCTGCCTGGGCACTGATGTCTTGCCAGAATTCAGTGGCCCTCTGCAAGGCTAACTAGTCATTTTCCATCCATCCATCCATCCATCCATCCATCCATCCATCCATCCATCCATCCATCCATCCATCCATCTATCCATCCATCCATCCACCCATCCATCCATCCATCCCCCCAGAATATTTGCTACCATTTATGTCACAGTGTAGAGGTGGAGCACTGGCCATTTCTCTTGTTTAGTGATGTCCAAATCCAGCTGGATGGCTTTCAGCCCTGCAACTTGATCCACCTTGCCCCTCAATAGTTTCTGTCTCGCCACATAGGACTCTCCAGCTAGGAGACACTTGCATAAATACATACACCTGTGCACCCATGAATACATATTTATGCCTTATATATCTGGAGTAGAATTAATATCGAATATATTTCACAAATTTTTGTTATAACTGTAGAATCTTTGAATGGCAGAAGGATTAAAACCCCTCTGCATTCCTTACTGATCTCCGGCTTTTTCCCTCCCATTCACTGACATAGTTTACTTTCAAGTCAATCACTTGAATGCCCTAGTTATTTCAAGGGATTGTTTCAGCCTGGCTTCTGAAGGGAAGCTTTAATGTAATGTGAATTCCCTTCTGTGTCTGGTGAAATGGGGAGGGAGAGGACAAGAGTGAGGGGCACCAGGAATACTGAAGACATATGGTGGTGTAACAATCAAAACAAAGGAAAAGAACTCAGTAAATCACGTCATCAGACTGAAAGCAGCTGGGAGCACAGAGATTCAGCATTTGGTTGAAGACAAATGTAGACAGGGCAGAGATAAGCAGTAGGTCTGAAAAAAGTGCTTGATGTAATGCATTCATGCTGAAATACTGAAGCATGATTTCTCATACTTTTTTTTTTTTTTTTCGTAGGGAATAGGAAAAGCATCATCAAAATGCTGACAGGATATTCTAAGCATTCAATAGCATTCTCATAGTTCATATTCTGCCATAGGAAATTTTAGAATGTTCTCGTACAAATAATTTAAAGATTTTAAAATTCTGTCTCTTCTAAAGCCAGTGGGAATTGCTATTAATACAATGAAAATTTACTACCACACGATGAAGATATTATGATATAATATAATTTTTTAAAGGTTAAAAGGTTACAGTTAAATTTAATTATGTTTTTGACGAAAATTTGTAACTCTTTGTGATGGAAAAGATAAAAATAAGGTTTGCCAAAGTGAGTCTATCAGTATTCCGCATTGGCTCTGGAATACTGGTAGTATAATTGGCTGGTATTTTACCACAATGCCCTAATCAGTTATACTGGACTAAAATTATTTTGTAATATGTATCTTTGAAAGAATAGACTCTAGGAATAAAACCCTTTGTTCAACAGTGAAAAATTTTCACTCCCATATTGAATTAATTATTATTTTTGTACATAGATATTTTTTACATCCTTAAAATGTGTACTAAATCCGTTTCTAGAGGAATCCTTCATAATCTTTCCTGTCTAAGGTATTTTTGAAAGGCTACTTCCTTAGGGTGCATGTAAACTTAAAAACAAAACTGAAATGAAAACCCACATAAGATTGGTTTACAAATTTACACTAAGGTCATCATAATCCATGAAATTGCATTAATGGATGTTTGGATGCTTTAGCACAATGTGAGTGCTTTTGTCAGATTGGTGAGAGTCAGAAAGGAAAAACAGACTGGCAGCAGATTATCTGGTCAGTAGAATATTTTACTCCTTTTGTATTTCTTTACAGAGCCTTTCAAGTAATAGGTATTTGTTTCAAAGATATTTTCCTTCCCTTGGCTGCATCCTACCTGCAAATAAATCTGAAGTGCAAATGCTGCTGCATTAGGAGCTGTAAATATGCCAGAAGTAAATGCAAGTGTAATTCACTATATAGGTCCAAGTTCTTTCCTAGGAAATTGATTTGAGCTGATAATTTGTGCACAGAAAGGTCCCTGCAGGCAGCTTACAAGAGCCCCATATAACTTGGGTGTTTTTTTTCTGTCAGGAAATAAAATATTCTGTAACTAGAAAGCATGATACTTTTTTTTTTTTTTTTTTTTAAAGCAGTTATATTTTGATATTTTAAATCCCCTTATTTCAGAAGAGTGTGGAATATTTACTTAGTACCTGCCCCCATTATGAACATTTCTTATGGTAGTCCCCCTCCCCCCTTGTAAGAATAGTTATGGAGCTTCAATATGACTTATGAAGCCTCATTTTCAAAGATCATGACTATTCATAGATTTATTCCTTCTTCACTGATTACATTCTTTGCTTTCCTGAATATCTTTCCATTTATAGCAATCTTCATTTGTAGATAAGGACCTCTGATGCATAATAGAGTCCTAATTTGATTATTAGGTTAACGGAGTGTTTTGTCTGTTCATGCATTACAGGAAACCCTGAATTCTGTGCACTTGACAATGCTACTGTCAAGCATGAAGCATATAAATGCAGGCTCTATTCCATGCTCACAACAAGGACCACAACAGCCCATCCTGTGCTTGGCAGCTTTGACACAAACACTGCTGACTGGGTGGGAAGAGTGTGCTACCCATTTCTTGGCAGCAACATTGCTTTCTCTTGTGAAAGACTGAAGTCATTAGCACATTCAAATTCTTTACTTTTACCAAATTCTTTCTTTCTCTGCTGTGATATACTAGAGTTATCTTCGGAGAGAGACTTCTTATTAAGAACTACATTCAGCAACTAACTGCAGCTAGAACTGAACTCATACAGTGGGGAGGGAGCGTACACACAAATGCTCATTTTAATGAGAGAGAAAGTGTAGGTAGAAGCAGATGACCTAGATGATTTTATGAATAAAAGATTTAATCTGATGCAATCATTTCATTAATACACACATGGCACCAAATGAAAAGAGCATAGCAGATGGCTATGAGAGGTCTTAAAAAGACATTTTCAGTTTAGTAGCTAATGACTTAGATTTCATGGACAACACCAAATACTATCAAAGATGAAACATTCATCGTACCAGTCTTCCAAATAATGTTCTAAAACTTTATGAAAGTAATGCTGAAAAATATCTTTTGTGACACTAGTTAGAAAATGCAGTCACATTATATATTATACAGCTATAGGTCAACGTGATTTTTTCACAAAAACTGCTGAAAGAAAACTCCATTATTTTCTTTATTAATAGCCTATATTTGTTTAATTTAATTTAATTTAAATTTATTTCATTTATTTGCTTCAAGTTTGCTACAAATGGTGGAAATAGTGGCTTCCTGTGTAACAATGAAATAAGGTAATTTGCCATGCAATTTTAGAATATAAATATGACATATATTCCTATGCTATGATGATGGATCCTCTGCAAACAACTGCAAAAAATTGCATTGGGGAGATTTTTGGTATAGTACTAATAATTGATTTGATTTATTTTAAGATAAAATATTTGGAGTAAATTTAGAGCCAATGTAAAACTTTAAAAGGAAGTAGTGGGTGTGGAAGGCTCATGTAAGATCTGTATTGTGTTTTTACACTAGTAAACCTCAGCAGAGAAAGCAGTGAAGCAGGGGAATAATGCCATTTAGCACACTGTATTACAGCACTGGCCATGTGGCTACCTCACCCTGATCCTGCCATGTCACCCACGTCCAGGTTGCATGGGGTTTGGCAGACAAGCCAAATGTGTCAGTTCTGCTCTCAGTCTGTTCTGCTCCATCCTTGAGGAATGTGCATCCTGCAAGACTTGATTGCTTTCCAGACCCTTTACAAAACCAGATCAGGGCAAAAGGGCTGGATTTCTTAGAGAGAATCTGGCCTACAGCTTCTTACAGACAGATTAACCTCAGTTTGGCTTCAAACTGAGGACACATACAGTCTCATTCTTCAGACCTAATCCAAGATCGACTTAGTCTATATTACTTCATCAGAAATTAATATCACGGCACTGGCATCTTTGAACTCATGAAGACTGAATTTTCTTTTTGCAAAGCTTGTTTGAGATCCTGTTAGTAATGACAGAGTTTATACTGAATTTGGATGGAACAGGAATACTTATTATCTTTGAATGCAAAGCAAGAGGAACAAAAATACAGCCTACCACCCAAAAGCCTCTGTGTGGAAAAGCAAGCTGCTTTTTTTCCTTTCTATGAAGCTGATAAAAATATTGAACAAGACAAGCTTAGCCCTGTTGCAAACTGTTATTGCTGCTTCCCTAGGAAACAGTTCTTTATAAGCCAGGAAATATAACGTTTTGATAATCCTGAATGCTTTTGAATGAAATGTAGGCATGGGTTTCCAATCTGAATATGTACACTCTGCAATGTGCATCCACAGCATCTCTGGCAGCCTGCTGCTCTGCAATTCAGGGGAATGGTGTAAAAACTAAGACAAACCTTTAGAAGCTGAAAATCTTCTTATGTCCACAACTTACAGTCATGACTATACATAGACTGAGTACTTTTTGATTTAGACAATTTGTCAGGTAAGTCCAGAGGTTGCTGTTACTCACATAAAGGATAATGGAAATGCAGTTAATTGCAGTCTTCATACATTTTTTACTGTTGTGTAAAACATTCAGAGAACATCATGTTAATTCTTCTTACTTCTATTTTGACAGCAAGTCAGGCCTCAGATAAAGGACAGAAATTCATAGCCTCAGAAATCACACATATAAATTTGAGATATAGAAGCTTCCTTTGAATTTTTTAGCCATGTAAAATGAATATTGGTCTTGTGAAAGAGACTCAATGAATTTTTTTTCCAAACTCACCAAGGTGTGAAGCCCTGTAAATTTTCTCAAGAGGAAGGTCAAGTATCCTGCATGTGAATGTGGTTGCAGAGTGGCATATGAGGTTACTGCTGAAAAAGGAGATGTCAGGTATTCCAGAATGAGATGCAACTCCTGTAAAAGAAAGTCTAAAAGAATTTAACTTTAAACCATAAATAAATCAAAAGCAATTTAATAATAATATTTATATGTTTGCGGCATTCATTTATATTTCCCCTCCTTGTCTTCATGACCGGGCTATCAGGAACACAGCAAGCACTGAGTAACTGTTAATTAAGAGACCAGTGCTTGATATGATCAGAATGTAATTCCTTTTCATTTAAGGGTCCTAAAAGCTCAGATAAATGGGTTTTCTATAGCTGTACCAGGGAACAGCTTTCCTTTGTAGAAATTATATTTGTCTAGGAACCAAAATCTTCTCTCCAGTTACTTCAATCCTGGGTATTCCCTCTGTTTGGTGTGCTAAATAGGATTATCATCATTAGCTTCTTAGCATATTCTCTGCCCTCTCTTCTTCTACACATGCATTACTGCTTCCCTTACTGTTTTGATATCTCTCTTTTTCAGATCCATCTGCAAACACTGGTCTGTATGAGACACTCAGTTGTCAGGGTAGCTGGATAGATACCACAATCCTCTTAAAACAACCAAACCAAACTCCAACTACTTTTTTATAGCTTTGGTATTGTTGCAGCAGCAATTTCTAGAAACAATATACAAAAAGCCGAAGACTCTTGACTGGGAGAGAATAAAAACCTCTTAATTTCTGTGCAGAATTTCTGTGTATTCACTGATCCTCTCTGGTTTGATACTTTCCTAATTCAATCAGTCAACTGACCCAGTATCATGTGAAGCAGAGACCATCTGCATAGTCCAAATTAAAAGACAACAAACCTTGGGGAGTCTAAAGCATACAGATGTCTTCTTGCACAGATGAAGCATGGTCCCATTTATTCAGAAAACACTTAACATCTTTAATATAACATGGAATTGGTCCATGAGCTGAAAAAAAAAAAAAAAAAAAAGGACTACGCTATTTATGACCTATGCAGTTCTGCTTTAGAAAGAATTTGATTTTACTGAGTTCAATAGTAGGAATATTATGATAAGACTGATAAGTGTTTTTCTTATGTTGTTCTTTAATGAGATTAGTTGAGCAGGTGTGAAGGTTTACTTGATTATTTTGTAAATATACAGAATACAAGAATATATTTTACACTGCTTCACTGTAGTGAATTCCAGCTGGTACCAATGTTTTATGTGGAAATATTTGGTGATGTCTCAGGTACAGTCTGTAAGGGTATTTGTAAAATAAAAAAAGCTATTTTAAACACAGTTGTTTTTGTGAATAAAATATGTGGACTGATTATAATGCAGGGATTCATTCAATATACTTTTTTTCTTGTATTGTTTAGAGATGCTTTGTTTGAAGATTTGGCGTCTTTTCTAGCATAAATACAATCTTAGTCTCAGAATTCTCCGAAATGAGTATAAATGAGCTTCATTTCCCTGCAGTGATTCCTATAACTGTAATCAGGGGAGAATAAAGATGCAATTTGAAGTCTGAAATATCTTCCAGGGCTTAGCAGTTCTAACAAGTAAGGTCACTGCTGTATTACACCGCTGTTTTGGTCTCTAGGAGTGAGGCAAAGCCCAGCAGCCCCTGGGGAGCTCCGGCCAGGGGCCCGTGGCAGGAGGGGCCGCCGTGTGACCCTCCCGCCCGGGAGCAGCGTTTCGGAGGGGCCGCCGGGGCCGCGCTCGGGGCTGGCGGGGCTGCGCTGCCGGGCGGAGCGCGGGCTGCGCCGGCGGGCGGGGGCCGGGGGGCGCCCGGCCGGGGCGCTCCGGCAAGGAGGCACTCGGTTGCACAATGAGCCTCGTGCCTGCCGGGGCAGCCCTTCCTCCGCCCTCCCTCCTCCTCCTCAGTTTATTTATTTCATTTATTTTTATTGCATTTATTTGTTTGTATTCACCGGAATAATAAAAATGAGAAAATCCGAGCGCTGCTTTTGGCTGCTCTCCACCAACCTGTCAGTGACGCAAGCGGAGACTACTTAAAGGCAGATTAGAGGCAGCAAGACATTAAAGCCAACCTTCCTCCCTCCACGCCGCCGGTCCGCCCGCCGCGCCGCGCCGCGCCACGAGCCGAGCGGGCCGGGCCGGTGGCGGCTGCCGAGCGGCCCCGAGCCGAGCCGAGCCGAGCCGAGCCGAGCCGAGCCGAGCCGAGCCGAGCCGAGCCGAGCCGAGCCGAGCCGAGCCGAGCCGGGAGCACTCGGCAGGGCTGCCGTCTCCAGCCGCCCTCCCGTCACCGGACTGCGGGCGGTAGAGACGGGCTGCTCTTCGGTTTGTTTTCCCTCCCCCTGAAAAAAAAAAAAAAAAAAAAAAAAAAAAAAAGGAGGGGTGGAAAAAGGCAGAAGTGAAGAGATCTCCTACGCTAGCCAAAGTCTTTGTCTCCGGATGAACAGCGATGGGGGAATGGACTATTCTAGAGAGGCTACTGGAAGCTGCCGTGCAGCAGCATTCTACTATGATAGGGAGGTAAGGGTCGCGGGAGAGATGCGGGGAGCACGGGGGGGATCCACTCCTGTCCGAGCCGGCCGGCCGGGGAGGTCAGCAGCGCACGGTGGGTCCCGGCTGCGCGGTGCCCCTCGGCCGGGCTCGTTCGGGGTGTGCCTGGAGCTCGCGTGTCTTGTCTGTGCGTGTGTGTGAGTGTGTGTGAGTGTGCGTGTGTGTGCGTGTGAGTGCGTGTGTGTTGGGGAGGCTGGTATGCGGCACGGGGCGCGCAGGCAAGGGGACACCGCGAGCGCCGCCGTCCTTGTCCCCGAGGAGCCACGGGGCACCGGACGGTCGTCGGGGAGACCCGGCTGCCATCAGGGTCCCGCTGCCGGCTCAGCCCCTCTCCTTTCCCGGCCGTGCTCTCGGGGGCTCCAGGGCCCGTGTGGTCGCCCTTCGGCCGAAGGGGCCGGGCGGGGGCCAGCGCTGCCCGCCGCCCACGGTCTGTGGCACACGGCCGCGCCGAGGCGATGCCGCACAGCCTGCGCTCCCCCCGCGCCCAGGCGGGGCCCGTTCGAGTGCCGCGGCCGGTTCGAGAGTGCCGGGGCCGGTTCGAGAGTGCCGGGGCCGGTGCCTGTGCCGGGGCCGGTGCCTGTGCCGGGGCCCGGTCAGCACTGGACAGCTCCCGGCCGCCCGGCGGCGGCGCGCACTGACGGGCTTCTCTGTTGCAGGATCCTGCTGACCGTGGTGGTGATCTTCAGAATTCTCATTGTGGCCATTGTAGGGGAGACGGTGTACGATGACGAGCAAACGATGTTTGTCTGTAACACGCTGCAGCCAGGCTGCAACCAGGCTTGTTATGACCAGGCTTTCCCCATTTCTCATATAAGGTACTGGGTGTTCCAGATCATCATGGTGTGCACTCCCAGCCTGTGCTTCATAACATACTCCGTTCACCAGTCTGCTAAACAAAGGGAACGGAGGTACTCCACTGTCTTCCTTACCTTGGAAAGGGACCAGGATTCAATGAAGCGTGAGGACAGTAAGAAAATCAAGAACACGATTGTCAATGGGGTGCTGCAAAACACTGAGAACTCCACCAAAGAGGCAGAACCAGACTGCTTAGAAGTGAAGGAAATCCCCAACCCTGCTATCAGAACTACAAAATCAAAGATGAGGCGGCAAGAAGGCATTTCTCGGTTTTATATCATCCAAGTGGTCTTTCGAAATGCCCTAGAGATTGGATTCTTAGTGGGACAGTATTTTCTGTATGGATTCAATGTCCCTTCCATGTACGAATGTGACAGATACCCTTGCATTAAAGAAGTAGAGTGCTATGTTTCTAGACCCACTGAGAAGACTGTATTCTTGGTGTTCATGTTTGCTGTCAGTGGGATTTGTGTGGTGCTTAATTTGGCAGAACTGAACCACTTGGGCTGGAGAAAGATCAAAATGGCAGTGAGAGGAGTACAGGCAAAAAGGAAATCCATTTATGAAATCAGAAATAAGGACCTGCCAAGAATGAGCATGCCTAACTTCGGCAGGACTCAGTCAAGTGACTCAGCTTATGTGTGAGGCTGTGACAGAACTGAAACACTGTGCCAGGTGGAACAGACCCAGATACCATTAGAGAAAGGTACATTGCTTAGGCAAGCATTTTATCAAACCACCAAGAAAGCCATTAAGGTATTGGATCTCCACTTACTGAACTAGCTGCAAAATGCAGCACTATATAAAAGACTGAAAAAACAGCTATAAAACCATGCTTGACCTAGCCTTACAGCACAGCTACTATTATTCCTACTTTTCTTTCTAATGATTGGGTTTTATCTGTCAGTGAAGCAGCTTTTTGGTTGTCATTAGGATGTTTACAGTTTGAATTGTCTGACTAATTATTGTAAATGTGTAGAATGTTCATATCAAAAACTTTGCAAGGATACTCTATATGGGGTGGGGTGGGGGACACTGTTGCAATGTGCAGGCATAAGCACGTTTTAAAAAGAGGGTAAGCACACTTTAAGGAACCTAATCACAGCTCAGTCAGGATATCTGCATTCACGTATCTTGCAGATGTCTTATTTTGTTTGTCTAAATCACAGACTTTATTCCTGGTGTGTATTACTAGCTATTTTCTATCATGGTTTGTGCATCAATTAGTCATGCTAAAAATAAATGCTGAATATAATTTTGCCATTTTTTCTTCGCCTGTCCACACAAACACACACACACACACACACACACACACACACACACACACACACACACCAGAGACCTTAAACATCTTGCATTAGTTGTGATCTGCAGAATATATCAGTACATTTTGAGTGATTCCCTAATATCTTCATGAATACGATGGAGTTGGTTCATCCCAGCCGAGTTCTGCATTTACCTACAATCATGTATGATGACACACATACCAAAGGAAGAGAGTTCATTGCATTTAACTGTGAATATATCATCTTTTCTCTGCTCTTATTTATATAAGTGCCATACTTGAAACATCTAACTCTGTACTTAGTAAAAAGGTTGTCTTGGGATACCAGATGGAGTGAAATGATTTTATACTCTTGTTTATTTTATGCTATTTATTTAGTCATTGCAATGGTGTAAAAAGCAGCTAAAGTATCTATTCTTAAATAAATACTTGCCTTTTTTTTTTTTTTTTTTTTTTAATTAAAAAAATTTTTTTTTTTTTTTTTTTTTTTTTTTTAAAAAAGAGAAATTTGTTCTTTATTCTTGTATATAATTGTAAAAAAACTTACAGGGTTAAAATAATTGACTTACAACAATTCTTCAGGGTTTAAAATGTCTTGTTGGTATTCTAAACTCTAAGCAACAAAACCTGGTAAATCAGGACTGTTTTGTATGTCTGTTTTCCTCCTTAAGCAAGCTTTCTCTGTCTTTAAAGCCTGATCCAAAGCCCACTGACACCAACAGCCTTCTTTCTGCTGACACTAAGGGCACCACAGTTGGCTGCCAAGGTCACTCTAGGAATAGCCAGAATACATTTACCCATAAATGAAACAATTGCACCTTTTCATCAGGGAATCCAAATAGTAACCTCAGCTTTTCTGCCTTACAGCTGGTTTAAGAAATATGTTGTTCATGTCCCATCAATTTACTGGTAAGCCACTGGGGCAGTTTCAAATGAATCTCTGTTAGCAGTAATTATCTTAATACAGAATAGAATACTAAGGTTTGCTAAATGATTTTTTTAAGCATTTTTAAAATTCCTTCTGAATTAATCAGAAAATATTTCTCTGGCAACAGTAGGAGTTGGATCAGGACTAAAAAACATACAAGTGCATTTCTAACTAAATAGTATATGCCCTTTAAAGAAAAGGGCCAAAATGGTGCTGGAAAATTTAGGGGTATTTATAACATAAGAAGGAGGCATGGGCTCAGAGTCATAAATGGCCTTTTGATTGTATTTTATGTCAATCCTGAAAATGGATTTTATTATATATTGGCTTGGAGATGATGCATATAAATCTTTTCTTCTTGGCTTACAACAAATACCTTAACATTCCATTCTTGTCTTTTGCCAGCATTGTCACTTTAAAAAAATGTTGATTAATTCTTAGTCTATCCATTATCACATTCATCTGTTGTCTTTTTACTTCCACTGTGAAGAATTAAAGATGTGTCATGTTTTTAAAGATTTAAAAAATATTTTTCCTTATGTATAAATTTAAGAGTTTTCCTGATTTGATTACAGAAACCTCTAAAGATGGATTTCTCAAATTCTTTGTGATAAAAACGCACACTGATATTGCTAGTTGACTGCATGCTCACTGGAAAACTGCATGTTATTTTTAGAAGGACAACATGGCAGCTAAAATCTCCATCTGCAAAATAACAAGCTTCTGAAGATTATTATTTGACACAGAAATCCAAGTCTGATTTTCATTTTGCAGTGTCCTGGGATGGCTTTCAAAATCTCATTTTGAACAGATATTGAAAGGGAAAATATTTTTTGACAGTTATAAGCACTCCTTTAATGTTGAAGAAATGAGAGATTTTGTGCAAAGTGCTTGATCCAGTGCAAAATAAAATTGAAAAAACAACTTAACTGGGCTTTGCTTCAGGTTCAGCATATTTTCCTGTTAGGCAGAAGCCCTAATACAAGTTTCTTCCAGTGACTGCATAGCAGTTTTCAGTCAAACTATCATGAGGGTGCATGTCTTGAAAGAGATGAGATTTTAATACCTTGAAATTCTAAGGTAATATTTAGAAAGTATCAGTTTATATTGTCAATGCAAATGACTCAGTTAATTCAATTTTTGAAAACGTATTTGCACATTTTTACTCCAGTAAGTAGGGATTCTTCAGATCTGTCCAAAGAGAAGAATATCAGGAAATGTAAATGCTGATTTATGTAACAGGATCAGCGATAAAGTAGGCAAAGACTTTTATTTTGATCAACAGAAACATCATTCACCATACTTAGAATATGGCTTTTCATATTCCAGATGAGAGATGAAATGTGTCAAGAGATCAGTTATTCTAACCTTCCTTTTAAGTTGTTATTTTTTGTTTCTTACCACTACTCATTTGTCATGGACAAGAGAAATATAGCAAACATGTTTTTTTGTCAATGTATGTGAGAATCATATGATTAATGCTAATGGACTGTTT